GTATCTGTTGCTAGTGGGAGGTAGCTGATATCCTATGGAATTAGTTGAGGTGCGCGCAAGCTGGCCCGGGCATAAAAAAAAGTAGCCAAAATTCGAGACATCTTCTGAACTTACCCATCTATTGTTTGTATGAGCTAGCTGGCGGACCTACTTATTGACTAGTGGGTGCGTGAGCACCCATTGTTTTTTACCCAAGCACTAGGTTTTATATAAGGAACTAGTATTAACATACAAATAGATTGACCAAGCACCTCTTCCATGACTACCAACAATTCAATACTCAAGATTAAAGGCCGTTGAGCACTCACAACTGAAAGTTCTAGGTTCGCCACTGGATTTAGGGGATGACGAATTCGACTTCTAAGCACACATCAGATAGCCACACCTATGTCCATGTAACAAAAATACTCACAGCTGGTGAGGGGTGATCATTCCTTTAGCCACTCCTCGGACATGTGCACTCACAAAATCTAAAGCACAAGTAGCACGGAAGGAGCTTGCGAGTTAGTAAGGTTGAAACCTTGAGCAAAAGATAGGCAGCATATATTGATGCTAACCTTTGAACGACTATGGCGCTATGGTCGTCATCCAGGAGGACTCAATTGTGTTTGACGGCAACACGAGATGATGTGAATCTCACATGGATGAGCATCTTGGATGCAAGGAAGTGTGCATTCTTTTCCCAAATTTGTTTTGGACATGATCATGGGCACTGAATTATACTGAAAAGACCTAACATAGAGTTGGTTGGTTTGTGTTCAATGGGATCATGAGTATAGCACTGAATAATTGTGTCATTACAATATGTAGAGTTTGCCAATGACATTTGCAATGTGTGAGGTGCGCATGTAGTATTATATGAAGAGATTTGCGCCCTTATGGGGTTAGTGAGTTCAGGAGGGCTGCTTTCTTTTTTTTTTCTTTTTTTTTTGGCTGATTGAGTCAAAAGGAATTGAAGACTAGAGAGCAGATCCTAACGTGTACATATTTGTAACTTGGATGCCAGTATCGAAATTTTCTTTTATCGATGGGAAAGCTACTTTTGAATTTTGTAAGAAGGTTTTCTTCTTATCTGGTTACAGGTTGCAAGATGTGGTGCACAGTGAGAAGCGATTATATCTAGTCTTTGAATATCTCGACTTGGATTTGAAGAAGCATATGGATTCATGTCCAGAGTTCTCTAAGGATCCACGTCTTGTAAAAGTGAGTAAAAACTGGATGATCATTTGGAGGTGTTCTCATTATGTGTTATCTGCTTGATGAATTGTGTAACTCTACTTAACATCTTTGTGGAAGAGGGAGGGAGAGGCACCCTGACCATAAATACTTAAATTTAAGATTGTTTGATTATGTGAATAGAGAAAGTATCACTATCTAATGATTTTTCCCAAGTTCACAGGCTTCTTGTTCACCGTCATCAATTAAGCAATCTCTACTATTCTGCAGATGTTTTTGTATCAAATACTCCGTGGTATTGCTTATTGTCATTCTCATAGAGTTCTTCACCGAGATCTGAAGCCTCAGAACTTGCTGATAGATAAGCGTACGAATGCTTTAAAGCTTGCAGACTTTGGATTGGCTAGAGCTTTTGGTATTCCTGTCAGAGCTTTCACTCATGAGGTATGCACATAGTGTTTAGCTTTCTGAAACTCTCATTGTGCCTTCTCTTAAATTTTCACTGTTGTCTAATGTTCCATAGGAGTTAGGACAGACGAGAAAAAAGTTATGAGCTGTAAGCATAAACTTTTCTTACATCTAATGTCTTCAAGATATGATACATAATATCTATACGAACAACTTTTTCTCTTCAGAGTTTTCTTTACTTGTTATAGCTTAAGTTGACTGTTAGTTGATAAAGATAAAGAGCTTGATCAGGGGTCTGTCCCCAATCATTTAAGATACTCTTTTATCTTTTGTACTTCCTGCTCTAACCCATCATTAATTGGACCAAGGATATCTATCTAACTGTTGTTTTATTGGCTCTTTAATAGTTAATTTTTTGGTTCAGGTGGTGACCTTATGGTACAGGGCACCAGAAATACTGCTAGGAGCACGCAACTACTCTACTCCTGTTGATGTTTGGTCAGTTGGCTGCATATTTGCTGAGATGGTGAACCAGCGGCCCCTGTTTCCGGGTGACTCCGAGATTGACGAACTTTTCAAGATTTTCAGGTTTTAATATACATAACAAATTTTTTTGTTACCTTTCTCAGAAAAAGTGTTCATAACCAATTCTTACTGATAAGAAAAATATGCATCACTACTTCTTTCATGAAAGCATTATTTCTTATGAAAAGAACATATCCAAAAATACTTTGATAATGGAAGTGTTTCTCCTTGTCTAAAAATTCCCTTCTCATCCTTTTAACGACCCTTCTTAGAAAAAAAAATAGGCATGGAACATCCTTCTGGCCTCTGTTATGCATCACGATCAAAATAATTAGGACTCAAAAAGCAGGCAAAATGTAGGGTGCATGGGCAAGACTCATGGTTCAGAATACTGTAAACTTCACTGTCGGATGGCCTGTGATGTCAATTTCCTCATGCTGATATGCGTATCAAATAATTTATTCTATTAACTTTCCATATCAATTTTTTTTTATTCTATTTACTTACCCTTCTAGGGGGGTTAAGGAGGTTCATATGTTGGTCCTTGTAAAAGAAAAAGAAGGTTCATATATTGGCTTCATGAAGTTTATGACCGAAATGTCAGTGTTAACATGTTCTATATTAATTTCATCAAACTGTATAAAGCATATGCTAGACCGAGGTTTCTTGAATCAAGGAATGTCAGCATTTTATTTCCTTGTACTTCATGATTGTTGAATATTTCCAATGATGTCATGATTCTCTACTTTTTCCGTCTATAAAGAGTAATAGGTACTCCAAATGAGGATACATGGCCTGGAGTGACTTCTCTGCCTGATTATAAATCTGCTTTCCCAAAATGGCCACCTAAGGTAATTTAGGTTTCTCTGTGGTTTCTTTCCTAACAATTTGACTCCTGCTAGACTGAGGATAACATCGTACGGATTATTTAAATGGTACCCTTTGAACTTGCAGGACTTGGCAACTGTAGTCCCAAATCTTGATGCACCAGGTCTTGATCTCATTGGTGTAAGTTACGTTATAAATGATATCTGTATCTTATGAACATGAAAGTTAATAATGTCTTGAATGAAGCTCCAGCTTTTGCGATTGATTCCCAATGAGAGATATTTTAGTGAAAGACATAAAAAGCATCTACAATTAACTGCTATGTGAATCTCTGCCTGTGAAATTGCAACATCAGTGGACAGTTGAAGGACATTGAACCATTAACAGCAGCAAAAGACTGACAATTAGTTTTCTTAAAGAAAAAGGGTGTTCCAATTGTTGTGCTTGTGTTACATGTTTTTCTTTTTAATTGGTTCATGATCTGCATTCTTATACTTTTTTCAGTCTCTTTAGTCTTGTTTCCTTTCTTTGCGTGTCTCTTTTCTTTTCCTTCTGATTTTCCCTTTTTAGTTGGAGGACGTCGGGAGGTGGGTTGTTATGATGCAGTTTGTTTCTATGCGCATTAGAAATTTTCATGTTTTCAATTCAATTAATTACTTCGGAACTTCTCTTTTCATTAGGATTATGAGTAGGTCTTTACGTGTGGACAATGAGTAGTGTTTGATGACCAGATGATATGATATGATATGATACTTTAGACTTCAATCTATTGCGCTGATCTATGTGGTCCAATTACTCAATGTCCTGGCTTATTGATGTTTCAGAAAATGCTTTGCCTGGATCCCAGCAAGAGAATCACTGCCCGGAGCGCCCTTGAGCATGACTACTTCAAAGATATTGGTTTTGTTCCGTGATTCTTTGTACCTTCATCCCGAGTGTTGATGTATATTTGGGTGTGTTATCTACAAGGTTTTGTTCTTAATTTGTGCAATCTTTAGGCTTTCCATTCCTTTTTTTTTTTTCTTCTAATTATATTTTCCTCCAAAGCGATCCAGTCCTTATTAGAAGAGTGGTCCTGGCACAGCCTTCATGAATATTCTTGTTCCAGTTTCGGTGTACCATGGACATGTTGAAGCATAGTTTCAGTGCAATTTCCTTTTGGTTGTATTTTGTGGTTCTGGATACTGTTTTGTTACATTAATTTTATTTTGGGGTGCTATTAATGTTGTCTATAGTTCTCTCTGGGATTAAACTGACTTTATTTACTGGAGTCTTTGGTTATCCCAAAGCGTCATTCCTGAGAATGCAAGCTAATATTGCTCAAGAGCACTCTCACAATTAGGGTAGGAGGTCGTTATCAAATATAATTACTCAACGTCAGTCATCACCGATCCACCAAGAAGCAATACTAAGGAATTGAGGCACTGGGATTCTAACTAGTAATTAAATGCAATTAAGAAAAAGAAGCACTTAATTACTAAAAGCAAACGAGTAAAGGCTAAGAATTAAACAAGGATCACTTGACGATAACTTAATGAAAAAAACAACTATGATAAAAGAGGCACTGGGATTCTAAATATGTCCAAATTGGAGTATACAAAAACGGAAGAAGCAGCAGAGACAACTTCACTAAAACCTTAACCAAGTATTAAGTCCAGATGAACACAAACTTGGGTGAGCACAAAAAATGGAAGACCTTGCTGGTTCATAACAATGATTAGTGTCATCTGCATGTTCCAAGTCCAAGAAAACAAAGGAAAGACTTTCTTACACCAACTTATTGCATTAGTTCTGCAAGCAGTTATTAACGGATTTCTATATGCCAAAAACAACAACGCAGTTTAATCTCATACATGGGGTCTGGGAAGGGTAGTGTGTACGCAGCCTTACCCCTACCTTATAAAGGCAGAGAAGTAGTTTCCGATAGATTCTATATGCCAAAAACATTACGGAAAAACTATTTCTCCTGCATAGCTTCATATAGTAAGTGTGCAAAGCTAAAAGCAACTTGCAACATAAAATTTGCTTCCAAAACTCTTAAGTAAAATGAGTAGAAAAAGGGGGAGTATAAAAATTAGTTATACATTGTGAATAAACAAAAATGGCAAAATCAGCAGTACATCCTCCATTAAGATCTACAAAAATGCACTAATGTATAAAGAAAGAAATCAAATGTAACAACAAATTCACGAGATAAGGGGTAGCTCACTTGGTGAGTGAGCTCTCTGCCTACCAAGAGCAGTAATGGTTCAAACCCCATCAATAGTGTAGCATGCCCGCCTTAAAAATATCACATTTCTTTGCACCTCACAAATTGACAGGCAAATCCAGGAATCTAAGGGAAATATACATTGTTCGTAAGTTATTTTTAAAAGTTGCTATCTCATTGACCTCTGCGATTGGGTTCATGCAGCATTGGTTATGCTCATCTCCTCAAGAATCCCATTGCCTGGTAGACATTATTGACAGTAACATCGGCTACATCTGCTGCTTTTCTGGCTCCCTCTGCCAAGACTCCATCCAAGTAACTCGTGTCGGATACAATTTCCTCATAGCGTGCCTGAAAAGTACAAACCAAAAGGAATTATGCAGAAGTGTCTTTGAAGGAATAAAACATTGGAGAGATATCATCTTTGACTTCCGATTGTACGATAAGAATCAGAGACAGGAAGATGCCGTTCTCTGAGCTTGAACTTATTCCGTTTTAAACAGAAATTTAAACTGCAAGAAAACCGAACAAAAAGAACTTCACAGAAAATTAAAAGAAAAAGGCTAAGGAAGAAACTATAACCCTATATTTGAAAGAGAAGTGGATTGAAATAAAAAAGATGCTCGAGAGGAAAATGAAGAGTTAGAACACAATAGGGTTGGATTGTCACCAGTTGATACCGAGATGCAAAATACTAGCAAGGTATATTGTCAAAAAAAGGATAGCAGCAAATTCAAACATAAAAATAGATGCAAACATATGCATGCCTCCAAAGCTTGGAATCTATGAAAATATGTCCACCAGAGGCCTTCCATTACATTTTCTAGATCATAGAAGCAAGTAAAAAATGAAGCAAAAGCTGAAGTCAAACAAGTTTTTAAAAGCCACCCGCAACTTGATCAGTTTTCCCATAAATGTTCCAGTTATTCACCTAATTCATGAGGCTGTGACAACTGAACTCTTCGTTTCCTTACCCACTGATAGGTGGATACTTATAAGTAGAATAACTTTCATTAAATAAAGTAATGGTTAACAATATGATAAAATTTATCTTCCAAGGATCATGAAGCACAGTCCAGATTTCTTTTTCCTTCCAGGAAATGGATACTTGAGACTAATCATAAGAATAACTATTTATTTTTTTAACATTCAACCATGGACAGCATACTGAAAGGAAAGCAAAATTAGAGCTTTATGCACACTTTCACCTACAGGACCAACAGCACAGAAAGAAGTCTCTAACTAGAGCAAGAGAGTGCAACAGATATGGACCAACCATCACATTAGCAAATAAATGACCAGTAGGCCTCCTAGTGTTCATTTTGGCTGTCTTGCTATAGAGAAAAGTCCTCAAGTTAGAATTTGGCAGATTGACAAAATTGAACTTTCACTCAAATATACAAGTAGCTCAGTAGGCATCACATGCGAAAGAAGAACCTGGATAGGGTGTAGATGATCAACTAAAGCATCTGTAAGCACGAGTTTGAACGTTCCCCAATTCATATCTCTGCATTCTTCTGCAACCTCCTGTGGCATCAAGGCATTGAGAATTAACTTCTCCAATATTGCTTGGACAATGGAACCAATTAAGCACCCCTCAAAATCAACCACTCAAAAGAAGAAGAAAAAAAAAAGAAATTTAGCTATTTTATATGACACACTTTGCCAGACCTTTAATGTGAAGTTTATTGAGTTGCATGTTATAGCACCAAGCATCATGTGTTCACGCAGGGTTCAAGGAAGGGCCGGCATATCAAGAGGGTGTGCTGTAGGCAGCTCACAACGCAAAAATCAGTGGTTGATTCCATGGTTTGAACCCGTAAGCTATAGGTCACACAAAAACAACTTTACCATTGCTCCAAGGCTCCCCTTCATTAAACGGCAACCCGGTGCCAAATGACCAACTCTAGGCATGCGAGAGGGTGCTACAATGTCCTACATTGGTTAAGATAACCCGTTCCTGTCTCTTCATATGGTTTTGGGCAATTATCACTTTAAGTGCTAGTTTTAAGCTTGAGTTAGGCCCAATGTTAATGTTCTTAATATACATAAGCTATAGAATAGGAAGGAACACAAAAAATACATAATTACAAATGAACAAATTTTCCTAATGGATCTTAACTAATCCTTAGCAATAATGAATTTCCCCAATTGATGTGACAATATTCTTAGCATATTCTTAAAAGTTAAAAAGCCAGTTTAAAGAGAGCACCAACTTATGATGTTGATTTAAATTGTCAAATAAATTTAAGTTCTTAATAATGTTGAAAGTTTTTCAAACATAAAAATTGTGTCCTTAAATTAGGATATAACTGATAAAAAAGTGCAGCTGATACACTAAGCTCCCGCTATGCACGGAGTCCTGGGAGGGATATAACTTATACAAATTTTAAAATTCCAATATCCAATTAATTTAGTATACTAAAAAAATTGTATCGACTCTCTCAATTGTAAATGGCACCAAGGAATTGGCTTGATTTCCTAATTCTTTGGGTTGTAGTTAACAGCACAAGGAACTGTAATATGAGTGAGAAGAACCATAGAAAAATATATTGAGCAAAAGTAGTAACATTTACATGATAAAATCAATCTGCCACCCATAAAAGAATAGGCATACATAATACTGGTGAAACGAAAGGATAATGTACACAAATTAATAGCATTAGATATGAAGCCATTCACCTGCTTGGTCTTGCCTGTAACTAGCTGATAAATAGAAAGAAGATTGTTACATTCAGGTCTTTCCGGATTGTCAAACTCCATGCTGTATATTGGCAAATAAAACAACAGAAAAAATTATAACACACCACAAGAAAGTAAAGCCATTGAGACAAATATTTATGCCAAAGGACGTATGTCACATGCCTTGTCAAGGTCTAGCCTTTAGAGCAGCTTTTTCTTTTAAAAAGAAAATTAAAGTCTCGATGGAGAAAATAAAATAAAATTCTACAAGCCTCCGCACCAGAAGTGATTAGATGCTTACCCAGGAAACGAATCAGTCTTGCACCGTTTTATTTTATTTGCTATTACCTATGAAAAGAACAAAAAATCCCACATTAAGCATGAAACAGGTTTAATGTTCAATACATGATAATTACCCCAGCCAAGCTTTATTTCGATATCACAAGGTCATCACCACTAAAGATTTATTAAAAATGCATACAACTCCACACCTAGAACCCTACTCCAACAGAACACTTTTTCTTTTGATTAGATAAACTATCCTACTCCAGCAAAACACGTATTTTGACATGATACAAGTATTGAATAAGAATTTAAACTGTAATTGTTACAACAACAACAATAACAACCCAGTTTAATCCCATAAGTGGGGTCTGAGGAGGGTAGTGTGTACGTAGACCTTACCCCTACACTATAAAGGTAGAGAGGTTGTTTCCGATAGACCCTCGGCTCAAGGAACAGTAAAAAAAAAAAACCACAAGCAATAGCAGCAACAATGTAATAGGGTAATGGAAGCGAATGACACAACAAGTAATAAAAAACCAGGAATAAGAGGAATAAGAGAATACAAGAATTGTACTAGTACTACTGGCAAGTCTAGGAGAAACTCACAACTACCTGTCAACCTACCACCTTAATCCTCGACCTCCACACCTTCCTATCGTGGGTCATCCGGTAAGGTGAAGCTTAAACTGTAATTGTTAATCTAAAAGAATTGACATGAGATTATTGGTTTTTTCTTAAAAAAAAGATCATTGTTTTAATTTTGATTTCTTAAGGTCAAACTAGAAGATATAGTGTGGTGAGATGAAAGAAAGTATTGTTTAACTTTTTACCGTGCATAAATGTGGTTAACTTTCCTTTTTAGGAAATACCGAAATAGATGTTAATTTGGGATAAAGCTGGACATTCAACTAAAGAGAAATAATCCCAATATGGTCACATGTGGATGTCAACTCTTAGTCCAATTGCTTCAACTGTTAATAAAGCCACTACCATCGCAGTGAGCATCTAGTACCTCTGCATGCCCAAGGCCGGACACCTGGAGCGCAGACAACATAATGTCTGCGCGTAATAATGGTTAAACCAAGAATAAGGATGACTTTGACTTTGATACCATGTTTAGAAAAATGAACCTTGAACGCAACGAAACTCCAACAGCTAGCTGTTTAGGTTGGGTTAGACCAAGGTCCATCTTTCTTGACACTAGACCCTGAAATGCACCATTGCTCTTGAGTCTTGACATTCTTTTACTAATTGTAACTTTTCAGTTATTTTTATCAAAAACCAATAAATGGACATGGTCTTGACATTCTTTTACTAATAGTAACTTTCAGATATTTTTATCAAAGACCAATAAATGGACATGGATATGTGGAGTAAGCCAAATATAAACAGAGAGGAAAAGAGAGTGAAAAAGTATTTATGATGAACTTAGACATGGAATTGCAGATTCCAAAGTCTAGAAAGTGTGTATAAGTCTTTTTCTCTTTCCTTCTTACAATAACACATTCAGAATATGATTAGCCAATTCAAGCTTTTTATCATTTTAAAATGCATAAACCCACGTTCCAAAAGTGATATACATAACAGATGCTTCTAAAAGCAAAAAATAGATGCCCAAAAAAAACTAATTTTACTTACATCTTTTGAATCTAGCAAATTGATTCTCGACTGATCAGATGGTGCTGACTTCGACATCTGTCCAACGAACTCCATTAGAAAAATATATTGGAAAGAAGCACTATTTTTAGAAGTGTCCGTGCAGAAGAAAAGAAGAAGAAAATGAAACAAATAAAAGCTGCTTGACCTTAAGAGATTTCAAACCTTGGAAAGACCATCAGTAAGGGACATGATTCGAGCCCCAGCGGGTGGAATAAGAGGTTCAGGAACCTACATTGACAAAAGCATACTGATAAGCATTCTTCACCTATACAAATAGCATGTACAGAAGTGAAGGGTATCAACCAGGCTTCAGTTGAGAATCCACCTTGAAGATTGAACCGCCTCTCCTGTTACAGAGAAAAAACAAAGTGATTTTCTTTTGACAAGTTGAAATATAATCAACTCGAAAAAGTCAAACAACAAGATGGCAAGTATCCAAATATATGTATTTAGAGCATAACATGACTGCCTTATGACTTACCCTCCCAGTTTCTTCCACTTCCTTCCTCCATATAAATAGTTAACACGCTCAGCCAGCTCTCGTGTCAACTCCAGGTGTTGCTTCTGATCCTCTCCAACAGGGACAAAATCAGACTGCCGAAGGATACTTTGATACATCAGATCCACAGACATTCACACACACTTTCAAGATTAGAGTTGGCGGAAAATTGTGCTGGGAACTGCAGTGGCATTTGAGCAATCTTCCCAAGGATACCCCAAGATATAATGGTAATCAAAATACTGAATGCAACAAGTCAAGCTTCTTGTTCATAAAAAATAAATTCGAGACATTTTAACTAGGGTTAGTGAAGTGTGGAGCTGGAAACCACCTGGTACAGAAGAATATCAGCAGCCATTAGCACAGGATAGGTTAGAAGGGCAACACCCACATTTTCATCCCCCTGCATAGGGAAATAAATATAAAAAACGCCTGGTAGAGACACTGAAAAAACAGTCCGGTATAAGAAAGAGCCAAAGGTTTAAGTGTGAAAGCAAAGAGTTATGATGTTACTGTAACAGATGGGGATAAACCAGCAACCAGTCTGGATTTTTATGTCATTCCGGAAAAAAGGTTTAGAAGAATTCACCTAAATAGCCGTCTATCCAACTGCTCGAAAAACATTGTATCCGGCCGAATATTTGTGCAAAAATCCAAAAGGTTTATTCCATTTTCTTGGTTCCGATTTCAAGCATTAATTATATGGACCAGATATTTCAGCAATTGTAAGAAGTCTTAATGTCAGAAATGAGAAAAGTAAGAATCCCAAAGCAGACATACATGTTTCTGTTGGAGATAGGGGGTCCAAAGGTATACCCATTAAAAGCATGCTAGTTAATAATATTTCAAAGCATGCTAGTTAATAATATTTCAAAGCATGCTTGTTAATAATATCTTCAAGCATTCATGCTCTAAGGGGTATTCATACTGGGTTATGGAACTTACAGAAAATTTGGCCTATCAATACAGTTGAGATCTTCACATCATATTATAGGCTCTTCTGTTGCTCGGCAAAGACATCTTAACATTTATTCCATATTCATAAGAGATGTTACAATCAAAATGATATTTGTTTAATGTTGTTTATAGAAACAGAAAAAATATCAAACCTGATCTTGACTACTAACTGCATAAAATAGAAGAAACTGGTCTATAAAATAGAAAGGAGATCGGGTAACTAAAATAAGTGTGTTAAAGAACAAGATTTTATGAGGCACTAAAGGTTGTAAGTTCAAGAGGCAAGCAGCAAACTCATGTTGAGCAACAGTGTAGTTCTTCGGACAAAGCAGGCATCATGCTCGCATGAATACATTTATGTGGAGCCTAATGACATCAATGGCACTTGTAAATATAGTCAAAGAAAGATCAACGAATTATCTTTTGCCAGTCATAGAAGTTCTGCCCAGTTTGTGTATTTAAACTTGATAGCAAATCTACCTACTATTATTATTTATCCAAAACATTCTCTGGTTGAGTTCATACTTCTGAATTATTGCACCTCTAAAGTGTAGTTCAATATCCACTTTTTCCACATGCAGCATCAAATCACAGTTTACAGATGATATGGTTGAAATAAAATTCCTCCAAAGATTTGGTGAATTAAATCTGTATAAACTGTTAAATCCTAAAAAGCAGAAATTAAGGTATTGAAAAAACGACAGGCAATGGAGAGAGGGCTGCATACAGCAACGACGCACCGCCTTCCGTGATTTCTCTTTAAATTGAATCATCCTGTTGAGCCAACCAATAGGTGTTGCAGAACTCAAAAGCCACATCAACTCTACATGAGCACGGACATGAGACTGCACAAAGACTGAAGCCTGGAAGCGAAGTCGCAATAATCACAATGCAAGGGATAGGCCACAATGTAATATATATGTTAGAGAAAATAAAGAGCAGACCTTAGAAGGATCCACACCACATGCTAAATAAATAGCTGCTGTATCCCTTGTTGACCTTAGCAATTGTTGTGCGTCAAATGGCAAAGTTATCTGGAAAAATCTGAAACAATATTACCTTCACCAGCTTTTATTTATTTCCTTATCCTCACACGCAGTGGTAGGGGGTACAGCCAGGAATTTTGGGGATAGATTTGCCATATGTGCATAAGCAAGTGAATGGGGTATCAGCATGGCATAATGTTCTCAGTTGGAGCACTAAAAACAAACGGGGCCATTTACTCTTATTTTCAACTAGTCACAAGTCCTACTCAATTGGAAGAAGAAAAATTTATTAGTCCTACCATAGTTTCACACCTATGGACCGGTGCATCTGCATGACCAAACGATCTCAAGCGAACTTGTCCCATTTTATCCTCAATATGTGCTACTTGCACCTTCTGCCGAATGCGTCCATTTTTAATCTTATCAAATCATTTGTGACAGCACATCCATCTTACCATCCACATTTCTTCAACACTCATTTTGTGGATATGTTGGACTTAGCAGTCCAATATTCACTATATATAACATAGCCGGTCTTGTAGCTCTTCTATAGAACTTACCTTTTACTCTGGTAGGCATCATTTTATCACATAACACTACTGTAACACTTCTCCATTTCAACCATCCAATTTTAATCCTATGAGTAGCATCTTCATCTATTATTTCATTCTCTTGAAACAAGCCTAGATATCTAAATTGTTTGCATTTTGGCACCGCAATCCCATTTAGTCTCACCTCAACTTCGCTCTTCTCATGCTGACTAAACTTGCATTGCATGTACTCAGTTTTACTACTACTTATCCTAAAACCCTTACTCTCTAAGGTGTTTCTCCATAGCTCAAGCTTTTGGTTGACAACCTCGCTAATTTCATCAATTAGCACAATATTATAAGCAAAGCATACACCCATGGGACCTCATCTTGAATTGTGTTGGTTAGCTCATCCATAACTAGGGCAAATAAGTAGGGGCCCAATGCAGAACCCTGGTCTAAACCCACTGTTATGGGAAACTCCTTTGTATCTCCTACTATTGTTTTCATGCTAGTGAAAGCTCCTTCATATGTGTCCTTTACGATATTCATATATTTAATATGAATTCCTTTCTTCTCCATCACCCACCAAAGGACTTGCCGCTGTGGTATTCGATCATATGTTGTCTCTAGGAAAAGGGAGGTCCCTACTAGGATTTGAGTTAATAAAGCCTGAGAATCTGGATTGCCATTCAAAATCCTAGATGAACTGACTTCCAATTGTGAGTATCTGGACGATGATGAAAGATCTAGGAACTTTACTTTTAAAACTTCCTTGGCAGAAATAAGGTTAGCAAATTAAGCAGATAATCACAATGATATTCCAAAACTAAGAGAGTACAGAGTAACTGATTAAATTTATATAAAGGAGAGTGAGTCATACAACTATTACTTGATAATGCAAGTTCATATATATCTTCCACAATGTAAAATAGCACGAGAAAATTCCAAAGAAACAACATATGACTAGGGAATAGTCTGGCAAATTTGAACTATACCGCATGAAGGTCCACAATGAAGAAGAATGTCTCATGTGTATCCTGAAAAGAGCAACCTCATCAGTGAAAGAGTAAGTCAAATCTAAATTGAAATTTCTGTAAACGAAAATATAACAATATTTCTCATACAAATAGAAAAAAGATTAGTAGCAAATCTGTTTTCTTTTACATGTAAAAATGATCGTAAATCTCTTAACATGTCTTATATGTACAGCCGCTGTAATTTCCAATCAACTGAGCTAGCATTAAGGGATTCAAGAATTTCTTTAAAAATAGGCCATTCAATTGAGTATCTGAATAATCAGAAGGAAGAACCCAGACAAAATGAGGAACCCATAGCAGCAGTGTTGTGAAAAGGGCTCGCTTCAGCGCTTTAAGCGTGAAGCGAAGTGAGGCGGCCACTGTGTCGCTTCTGTAAGGTGAAGCGTAGCAGGTAGGTTGAAGCGTCCGCTTTTGCCAAAAAAGCGAGAAGCGAGAAGCGACGGAAGCGCTCGCTTTTGTCTTTTAAGTCACTGATAAATGAAAAAGCTCAGTCTTTTTTTACAAAATCAGCGGGCAGCAGAGCAAGCAGCGACTAGGGTTTCAATTTTCATGCCCATGTATGTTTTCTTCTTCTTCTTCTTTTTCTCATTCTCTTCTTCTTCTTCTTCGGTGCTTAAAATAGCAGCGAAATGCTGCCAATTTTTTTTCCCATTCAGTTCTTCTTTTTCTCATTCCCTTCTTCTTCTTCTCATTCTCTTCTTCTTCTTCTTCTTCTTCGTCTTCTTCTTCTTCTTCTTATTTTCGTTTCAGTCCTTAAAACTGCAGCGAAATGCTGCCATTTTTTTTTTCCTTCAGTTTTTCATCTTTTGTTCTTAGTCTCACTGCCAATTTTTTTAGTATTGGCAGTTACATGTGTTGTATGCAGTTACATGTGTAACATGTGTTGTCTATGCAGTATTTATTTTAATATTTTTCTTAATTCCGCTTCACTTCAAAAAAGCGAGCGCTTCGTTCCTCGCTTCACGCTTTAAGTGAAAAGGGGCTTGTCGCTTTTCCTCGCTTCACGCTCTTCACAACACTGCATAACATCAACTGTCTTATCATCAAACTGTGTCAGCAATTGGAATTCACCATTCCATTCAAAAACCTGATTGAGGCATCGACATCCACACAAAATGCAGAGAAACCCAAAGAGATAGGCAGATATTTGATCTATAACGAGTTGATCAACGTGCTAGTGTGTCCGTTGGAAGCCCTACACATTGATTGTCACACCTTGATAGCCAATCCACAGTAACATATTGTGGAAAAGATGTTGAAGAATGATGACTAAGAAGTGTGGATTCAACAAGGTTAATTCAACAGATTTCCCAGGCTGATATTGGCTCCATTGTGAAACAGATCTCATGTGGAAATGATAACCAAAGTAGTCTTAGAAATTCGAATGTCTTAGATTGATGTTATATAAATTTCCATTATGGTGTAAATGAATTTGACTACACTGAGACAAATCCGCAAACTTTGTGAACACAAAAAGTTCTTGATTAAAAGCTAAAGGTGGAAATCTCAAGCACCATTCAACAGGCTACATCATAGGAAGCACTTACACCTTCGCTTCAGATTGCAAAACAAAACATTAATAGGATATTAAGCAATTTTAAACATAAAGAGAAATTTAATTGCTTGGATTATGTTGTAGCTAAGTTAAAAATTCTTTGACACAGACTCTATTCCCACATAAACTATAAGAAAAAGAAGCCAACCTGCAAGCGTATCCAGTTCTTTATGGCACCAAGATAATTTCCCAAATGTATCAATCCTGTAGGCTGAACACCGGAGACTATTCTCTTCCTGTTTAAAGAAAAGAAGAACAAAAGTAAAACATTCCAATCATGAGAATCATATACTATCATAGTGATCTAAAGTTTCAAATATAACCAGCTAAGCCTGTAGTGTTACACATAAATGTGTTTACTTCAAAATCACTCACATGCCTCTTGGTACCATAAACCACAAGCAATATATTTCTCCATATCTTGGTGCATGCCCAACAACTACATAACTTCTTGATGAAGATGTTCATTCTTAGTACTTTTCATTTCCACGAGTTAAACTAGGTTTAAAATAGATTGAAAAAATAAACTTAACAGCCAAAAGCTTCTACTTTCCGAAGTACCGATATATGGAACCACATAATATGAGTATACAATGCAACAAGACCAAAAGTTAAGAATAAGACATGTAAATCATACAAAACAATGTAAAAGTGTAATTATTACTCATGTAAGAAACCAGCTATTAGCATTGTGGAGCAGCATAACCATTAAAATTCAAAACCAATCACTGATTTTTGTGGATTAATATTATCTCTGGTTAAAAAGGCCAAAGACTATCCAAAAATTACTGTGAATAGTAAATGGAGGGGGGAAATCGACTGTTGTAAATTTACTAGTATACTAACAATGACAGGCACAAGTCAACTCAAAATCACCAAAAAGTAACAAAATTAACCTTAAGCTCTCCGGACAAGTTCCTCAAGATGGATAAACAAGTTATGTTGTCCAGGAAAAATGATCAAAGCACTTGCATCCAAGGGTGTGGCCTAGCGGTGAGGTCTCAGGCTCAAATCTCAGCGGAGGAAAAAAAAATACTAGGTGATTTATTCCCACTACCGGCTTGATGGGCAGAGTTACCTGGTACATGTTATAGTGAGAGGTACAGGTGTACCATAGAATAGTCAAGGTGCATGCAAGCTTACATTACATGGACACCACAATCATAAAAATGATTAAAGCACGGCTAATTTGAAAATTCACACATTAACCAAGAGCTGTAAAAATGAATCAACTAGCCCATTAATTAACAAGCTGTCAAATTGAAATCATCAAACAATGCAGAGAAATTTTCTTTTTTTTTTCTTGTTCAGTAAATATTTCATCTTTCTGAGTTGCATTACACGAAGCAGCGAGTAAATCACAATCGAGTAGACTTTGATAAAAAGAGTTATAGTAGCAAAAATTGCGAGCTGCATTACTTTACAGGGTTTGAAGAAGACTCAGAATTAACAGGTTCAGAGACAGCTACACTGCAAAGGCACCGAAAATCTCGACCGGCTTGTAAATTATGTTGACGAATTAGCTGTGGTCTTCTCAAGTATTTACCTAAACTTAATCCGCGTGACCTGCTAAGTATTGATAAAAACAGAGCTAAAATTGAAGATAGTGAATGGAGAAAAGGAAAATTAACAGCTAAACAGAGGAGAGAGAGATGAATACGTGGAAGAGGCGAAGCGAGGAGCAGAATAAGTGACCATACTGAAATGAGAGAGTAGAGAACGGCCCATTGCTGCTGCTTTTTTTTGAGGTCTGCAAGTTGGAACGCAGTTTGGATGAGATGGTGATTATGGGGAAACGGGAAAAGGGATATACAAGTCGCATTTTGTGAGTTGCGAGGTCTAGTGTGATTTACACCTTAAAGTTGCACTGATTTCTATGAACTTAGGAGTGTTTCTAATTTAACACCGCGACTCAATAGAACGAGTATATTAATTAGGAGTGTTAAAATCGAACTTGAAAATCGAACCAAATATAAAAGTCAAATTAAATCGATTAAAAAATCGGATTAGGTTTACTTTGATTTAGTTTGGTATTGAATAAAAAAATTCGAATCAATCCGACATATAAATATATAATTTTTATATATACGTTTAAAATTTTATATAGAATTATTTTTAGAAAATATCTAAAAATATTTGGGATTCTCTAATGAGATGTAATATTTAATAGAACTATAAAGTGCATTCATATTTATTTAGAATGAGTATTAATTAGGGGTGTTAAAACCGAACCTGAAAATCGTACCAAACAGAAAAGTCAAATCAAATCGATTAAAAAACCTCATTAGGTTTGGTTTGATATAGTTTGGTATTGAGTAAAAAAATTCGAACCAATCCGATATATAAATATATAATTTTTATATATATGTTTAAAATTTTATATATAATTATTTTTTAAAAAATGTCTAGAAATATTTGGGATTCTCTAATGAGATGTAATATTTAATAGAATTATAAAGTGCATTCATATTTATTTTCGTTAAATAATGAGTTGTATCATCACTTTCTTATCAAGTGCTATTGAAATGCGTCAATCTTCTTGTTTTTTCATATTCATATGTCAAAATCTGTTAAATTCTTATACCTTTTTCGAATTTGAAATGGTAGTTCGATAATTTTTAAAATTAAATAGAACATATCATTATTTTTGTTTCATATTGATTTTATTCTTAATTATTAAATTCGGTTAACTTCGAAAGCATACATCAACGAAAAATTATTGTTAGATGACTAAGAAAATAATATCATGTGTTACTAAAAAAATCTCCAATAAAAATATTTTAATAGATCATATGTTTGTTAGTTTTTTCAATTTCTACTAAACATATATTCACTTATCAAAACGTTATCTATAACTTTAACGAAGTAAGATTGAAATAATATTCATGTAACAAAAAAATCTGAAAAACCTGAAAAAGCCGACAAAGCCGAACCAATCCAAACCGATATAGTTGGTTTGGCTTGGTTTTGATAAAAACTTAACCAACCCGGTCCATGTACACCCCTAGTATTAATAAACACCTCTAACCATTGAACAGGCTTATGTGGCAATAATATATGTGACATGGCAATAGTGTGTGCATATCACGCAAATCAGACGTGTGAAAGCAATTTGCTTGAGTAATTAAAAAAGAAAACAAAAGACAAAAAGTAAAAAAGAATTCAAAAATTCACAAGTACCCACCCAACACCCCATCTCCCCATCCCATTCCTCTTTCTTTTCTTATTTTCCCCCGACATCACGTGCCCTTTTGTTTCTGTTTTATTTTCTTTTCATTTTCATCTTCATTAGAGGCTTTGGAACTCTTCACTATACAACAATGGTGCACCTATTCTCTATAAAAATACTTCAAATAAACCAATAATCTGGCTTCCCAAACATCACAATATCTCCTAGACCTACTAACCGATGTCTCATTCCCCATTAAAACTGCTGAAAATATATACAAAAACACATCATCCTTAGGAATCAAAATAGACATCCATTTTTCTTCATTAAAGGCTTTATGGAAGAAAAAAAAATCGTATACGGGTAAAATCGGGGATAATGCACACCCCGATTTTCCGATGAAGAAGACGGAAGAAGGGCACGAACACACGAGGTTGAAATCGAGGTTGGGAACCTTTCGTACCGAGACCCATGAAAGGTGAACAATGTGCTCATCGTCGGGCATGATAAAGCAACGCTCCCCGGACCCAAAACGAGATCTAAGATCTCGGGAAATATGGCAATGGTTATGTATGACTAACCGGATATCACGGCGCATATCTTGTCCGATGTGTGTTACGGATAAGTAATTAACAAGAAAGAATTTTTTTACCTTTTTAGACTTGTACTAGGGATAAAACTCTTCTACTATATAAAGGGGAAGTTTTATTTCATAAGACATATTTTAACACGCAAACCAAGACAATACAAATTTATTTTTTTGCTTTTTAGCTATTGAAAAGTTCTTACTTTATTGTTTGTTCTTCATTCACAATTGGCTTCGAACCAAGGGTCTAATCAAGGGCTAAACTACTGTTCAACCTAAGTTTGAGTTGGACCGTAACATTACAATTGGTTTGATTATACATTTTGTCTTTAACTCATTTATCTAATATTCTTGATTATTTGTGTTGAATCAATCCATATATCATCTCTGCCTCAGTGGGCGAAATCATCAACGTATACCAACTGATCAGGTGGTGGTGCGTATATAACATTGTAACCTTTCCCCATACCCCATATACATATAATATATACTTATACAATGTCATCTGGTCATGGGTCAATGTACATGTATAAATATGCCTTCGGATAAACTTTCTCGGAATGTCATAAGATCAATATGCCTTCGGATAAACTTTATCAACTACGTATTTTTCTCAGACCCATGAACAGAAGATATAATAATAAGACACATGGGGAATCAAGAACATAGGCACCCCTAGTGCTTCTATGAATATAGGCATTTATAAAAGTTGTGTGTTTGCTCGTTTCATTTGTATCGTAGGGATCATGCCAAAAGGAAATAGGGAATAGCCTTAACACACCTGAGCCGATTCTCTTGATAGTTCTCTAACACACGTCAATCGCGACAAAATACGTAACGGTGGTGTCGAAGTAGGAAAAAATCTGTATGATTTCCTTGAGAAGGTTATACCGTGCTCCCTTAGATTTTCAAGTCACACTGCTTATAGCATTTTTGTGGGTCGTATGAATTTTTTTATGGCTTTCCATCCGTTACTTTGCAAAATATAAACATCTCAGTTAATGATGTAGGAAGGTTTCTTTATCACAGTGGGTTGTGGGGGGCACTTCATGTTGATTACTTTGCCAAAGAATCTCCTAAATATGCCAATTAGCTCCATATACCAAAGAGTCACTATTAGGCTTGATCAATACTCCCACTTGTTGCCACATGGATATGGTATCTCCACTAATTTCTTACGCACAAATTCTTAATTAGCTTGTTAATCTCCCACTAAAATTATTAATTAACCCATTACCCACATAATTAAGTATTAACTTAATTTACTTAAAAATACTAATCACTTTCAATATACTATATACACCTTACTATCATGGCCATGCGGTATATTGTATGGCACTTGTCCATAAATAAGGGGTATTATAGCTTGGACCATATTTTATCCCAAATTATCAAACTTCAACGAAACTCATTTTCTTAGTTTTTTTTTATCCTCTTACTTTCACGGAACTTACTTATCACTTGTTATAAATAACATAAATACCTATATCCTCAAAAATAATCTCATTCCAGAGCTTACATTGATTAACTTACGACGAAACTTTAACGTACGAAAATGCAAAATATAACATCCTTCTCCCCTTAGAAACATTCGTCCTCGAATGTTTAACTCCCCGAGATCTATATAAATTTTGGCAGAGTCTCCTTTATAACAGTACTACTACCAACCCTCCTCATAGCAAACTCAATAACACAATACCACATAAGGCCACAATCATCAATAATGAAAATGGCTTCACACAACCAAAGACGGTAACTAACATAAAAATCCATACACGCACCTAAAGGTTGTGATGTCTCGGTCTGATCCCCCTCTGGAAGCGAAAATAAGTAAGGATACCTAGACTCCATATCTTTTTAAGCTTCTCAAGTCATCTCTTCCACATTATTGTTTCTCCAAAGTACTTTAACCGAAGCTACATCCTTAGTTCTCAATCTTCGAACATGTCTATCTAGTATAGCAATGAGAGCTTCCTCATATGATAGTTGCTCTGAACATCGTCAACTGACACGACTCTGGAAGGATCTCTGATACACTTATAGAGCATAGACACATGAAAGACTGGATGTACAAACTCTAAGTCAGAAGGCAAGTCTAACTCATATACTACTGGCTTACCTTACGTATGATCTTATATGGTCCAATGTACCAAGGGCTAAGTTTTCCTTTCTTACCGAACCTCATAACGCCTTTCATCGGTGATACCTTTAGGAATACCTAGTCGTCAACCTAAAACTCAAAGTTTCATCGTCGATTATCCGCATAAGACTTCTGACGGCTTTGAGATGCTAATATCCTTTCCTGTATAAGCCTAATCTTCTCGATTGCCTGTTGTATCAACTCTGGTCCTACTAACTTAGTTTCCCCAACATCGAACTATCCGATATGTGACGTACACTTCCATCCGTAAAAAGCTTCGTATGGAGCCATCTGAATACTAGAATGATAGTTATTATTATACGCGAACTCAACAAGCAGAAAATGATCATCCCGACTATCCTTGAAGTCTATCACACAAGCCCGTAACATATCCTTAAGTGTCTGAATAGTACGCTCAGCCTGTCTGTCTGTCTAGGGATAAAATATTATACTAAGATTTACCTGAGTCCCCAATCCTTTTTGGAAGAACCTCTAGAAATTAGCTGTAAACTGAGAACCTCTATCCGAGATAATAGATATAGGGATACCATGAAGTCGTACTACCTCCTTAATGTAAAGCCTTGCATAATCCTCTACGGAATATGTAGTCCTAACAGGCAGAAAATGGGTTGATTTTATAAGTCTATCAACAATCACCCATATAGAATTGAAATTACGATGGGTACGAGGTAAGCCTATGATGAAATCCATATTATTTACTTCCTACTTCCAAGTCGGAATCTTTATATCCTGCAATAATCCATAGGGTTTTTGATGCTCAATCTTAACCTGCTAACAGTTAGGGCATTGAGCAACAAACTTTGCTATATCCTTTTTCATTCCGTCCCACCAATATATTTCCCTAATATCATGATACATCTTTGTTACTCCTGGATGGACAGAATAACGAGAATAGTGAGTCTCTCCCATAACCTGTCGGTGCAACCCTGCAATA